TCCTAAAAGCAGGTGTTACTCAGGTTTCTTTCTCCTACAGCATAGAAATCATGTGCACTTTTTTTTTTTTTAAGGTTTCTACTCAGGGTCTTTGACTAGAACTCCAACTCCAAGTAGTTTGTAAGGGTTTTGAACTGAAACCTGACTCGATTAACGTTCTCTAAGTGTCTGAAATACAGCGGTGTCTGTCACATGCCCCTGCTTGTAATTAGGTGTGGTGTCTGGGCGGTCCTCCCAGCTGTGGCGGGAGCTCTGGTAGAATGGAAACTTTGGCTGTAGGTCCCTCTTACCAGTGACCTCGTAGGTTTCCTCAGGGACCTTGATGGCACCTCCTTTCTGTGGGCTGAGCACGTGCCTCCGTCACAGGCATAGCCGGGTTAGACAAGGAGAAGTGGGCTTCGCCATCTCCCTTCTGCCCGCTTCTGAGAAGGCCTCTTCCTCCCCGAGGTGGTAATGAACATGGGGTGGCCTGCAGCATGTTCCCTCCCTGAAAGTACCTGCCTATTCCTGTGCCCCTGAGCACCTTGCAGACTCCGAGGGTATTTAGCACAAGGTAATCGAATCAAATCGTGGCAGCCTGCTATCAAGAAACATTTACTATGGTACTTACTTCTCTGTTTAGCACCAGAGATATTGCCTTGTCCAAAACATCGCTGATTGGCTGTGACCTCAGGTTCAGTGGACGTGGAAGATTTGTGAAACGTACATTTTCCTGGCATGGTATTTATGCTGTGATGGAATTAGTTCTCTGCAAGCTTTAACAACGACATTCAAGCTGCCCCCTTGAATTTCTCTGACACAAGAGAAGGATAACAATAAAGACATGTCGATCCCAGTTATCTTCAGAAATGTAGGTTAACTTCTATGTCGGAAGCACTTACTCCGAGGGCGGTCTCTTTGTGAATGGTATAGCTTTGGAATTGACTAGCTTTCGAATGTAGTCCACTCCAAGCTATTTTTTCCCCTTCTTGCCGAATAGTCCGTCTGTTTCTATTATATTCTTTAATTGGTGGTGTTTTCATTTTGCCTCACTGACTGGTGAAGAGTAATACTTGCCTGGATGACAGAGCACAGCAAGTGTGATTAATGAAAGATCTCACACACCACTGCATGTATTTATTTATTTATTTAGTTAGTTAGTTTTTTTAAGAAAAAGCATGAGAAAAATTTAGGGCAATCGGAGTTAATGAAAACTAATTATTGTTATACAAAGTTTGCAGATTTTAATTTAAAAGTTGGGCCATTTTAAGCTTTTCTGTGCAAATGAACTCACTGCTCATTGTGCTCTTGACACCATGATCCACTGCCTTGTGAGGATATGTAACAGTGGGTGAAACTCGGAGAACGGAAAAAGATCTTCATTTTGCACTCACAGAATGCCAAATCCTTACACTGGCACCTTTGATTTACCAAAAGTCATTGCCTTTCCTTACAACTGCTGAAATTATTTTCCATTCACTTTTCTTTTTGTGTTGCTGTTACTGCTTTTAGTGAAGGTATGCATGGAGGAAGATTATATTAAGACAAATTGTACTTCAGGACAGTAAAGATATTTATTATCAAAGGGGGGGGAGGCTTTGGGATTAGTGTGCTGTGCGCATGCTCTGAAGCAGGAAAAACATCGCTTACAACCCATTTCCATCCTCACTGTTGTCCTTTTACGTCAAAGGAGCCCTCAGTCCTGTGAGAAGAAAAAGTCCGCCAGCTAAAGCCGAGTTTCCCTGGCACCTTGATCACCATCACTGATTTCCCACAAAGTCTTACTGGCCCGCAGAGGGGAAAACAGATGTTCTTTCGGCTTCTTGTGTGGGGCCTTCTCGAGATCTTTTAGCTCAGTTCCTCTTACTGTTGCTGTCTGTGGGGCCCCAGGAGTCATTCTGGGGCTTTGGTAGGGGTTCCCAAACTTCTTTTCCGGGGACCAGCTGCCTGTGCCTGCAGGTCAGCTCCCCCCTTCCCACCAAGCCACCTGGTGTCTCCCAGCAGCCAGCGGGGTGGTGTCTGGGGCCCGGGAAGAGCTTGCTGCGTCTCCATGGCCACCTGGTGTGGAGGGGGAGGCACCAAAGAGTGGGTGGCATCAGCAGGATGGTCAGGTGGCATCAGCAGGATGAGGCAAACATCGGAGCTGCCTCCGGAGCCCAGTGAGAGCCCAGGAGTAAGCGGCAGGCAGGAGGGCAGGAAGCACCCCGTGCCTGAGCCCTCTCCCAAGCTCCATCCTGTGCCCCCCCTGTCCCAGACTTCCCCCTCCAGCTGGTGCTCCTGGGCTGTGCCATGGCAGTGGGTGTGAGCGCGCTCCCGGGCAGGCGAGGCTGGCTTCGGAAGAGATGGAGATGTAAACTTTGAATTCCTATTATGAGCAGCGTGGGCGAGGCAACCTTACCATCAGCATCTCCCGGTGTTTCTATTTTTAAGTTAAAACCCAGGATGTGACTTGAACACAAGTTTTGCCCTTTAGTTGTAAAGCAATCGGGGCTGCAGGCTGCCTGGCTGCCAAGGACAAGAGTGGGCGCCGCGGTGACAGAGCAGGAAGGCGCTGTGCATGGTGGGGCGTCTCATACCTGAAAGCCCTGCTCCCCGGGGCGCTGCAGGGCCCTTCCTGGCCACCTTCCCGCCGACTCTCCAAAGAGTGGCTTCTGGTTAAAGGAGAAAGATGCCTGCGCCTGGCTTCGCCGGGTGGTGGTGGGGTGGTGGGAGAGTGGGGTGCTCAGTACCCTCTGAGGAGAGAACAAGTCATTGAACAATTTGGTCCAAATGGAGGCACCAGGCTGCTGAGCAGAAGCTCTTGCTGCACCCCAAATTGTTCACTTCCCCAGGAACAAGGTGAGAAAGACAAAAGGGTGTAGTCGTAGCTATACACAGATGTCTTGACTTGATTTTGTACTTTTGTCATTATGTACAGCCAGGCTGGCTAAAGACTCCCGGAGCAGCCTGGACGTCTGTCGTGTGGTGTGATCTGGGGCTGGGCGGGGAGCACGTGCTTACTGTGACCTGCAGATCCAGCGCCCTCACCCGTCTCCCCGGGAGCCCGCCCTGCCAGGAGGCTCCCAGGAGGAGGCGGTGTTTGGGCTGGAGGGATGCTGTTTGCCCGCCTTCCCAGCTGGCGCCTGGGCTTCGGGTGGAGTGGAGCGGGGGCTGCACACAGACAGGGTGTCGGGCCTGTCTACAGCAGATTGTCGCATGAGCATCCCAAGATGGCGGCCACTCTTGTTGAAAGACACTGGCTGTTCTCCCAGAACGTGCTTTGTCCTCATTTCTCCCTGGGAAAGGGTGCTGAGGACCCTCCTCGCCTTGGGCCAGAGGTCCCGGTGCACTCGGAGGCTCCGGGAACTGGGATCCAGAGCCCTGGGCACGCTCAGGCTCCGCTTCTCCTGAGCTTGGCCGTGGATGCATTGCTGGCAGGTCGGAAAAGGAGTCGGTCACCAGGGAGACGGGTTATGCCCAGATGCCCTCAGCCTCCGCGGCAGTGGGTGGTGGAACCACCTAGAGCTGCTGCCTCCTCTTGGGTCCAAAGCCTCCAGCCTCACAGGGAGGTGGTTCCTGCGATGTACCCTGTCCAGCTGAGCCTCAGAGAGGACCCACGTTGCACCCCAGGGCCCCCGAAGGCCACCCCAGGGACTCCCACTGAAGCCCTCCCTCCTGGGTGGTCGGGTTTTGGCAGGAAGGGCATCAGGTGTCCGGGGAAACGTTTCACCTTTGTAAGCCGTCAAAAGGGAGTTTTCAGCATTTAGCTTCCAAAGACTCAGAATTCACAGGGCACTTGCTTTCCACAGCACCATGTGGTTTTCCCCAGCACCACCTAGTTGTGCAGGCTCCCCACTGCTTGAGCCTGAGGCATTGGTGAGACCTTCAGGTCCCGTAGCCTTTGGCCACCTCTCAGTACGCAGCTGACGTGTGGCAGGGGCTGTAGAGACCTCCACCAATCAGTGCAGCCGTGTGCGGCCTGCTTCCTGTGCTTGGTCAGCTCCTTGGAAATGCTGGAGCTTTAGGTTACAAGGCGCTGGCAGCAGCAGTGCAGATTCCATGCTGTCACTTGGTCGTGTGCTCTGCCTGTGCAGACCAGTATCTCTGTCCATGAGTTCCACCAACCTCCTCAGGTTCCCACGGCTTCTGAAGTTCTCATATGGGCCATTGTCCCTGCCCTCAGCAGGCTGAAGAGTTTGCCAATGTCTTCTCAGCCTTGATCAATTCAGACAGGTATGCGATGGATCACTTCCTGTTGTGGTGACTGGGATCCAACACCACCTGGTTTCACCTCCTTGAGGGGAGAGTCTTCCAAATACAAGAGTTAGAATGATAATCTACGTCACATTTTGATAGAGGCATGCCTTTCTGTCTTTCTTGAATGCGTTATTTTGAGAACCACTGGGGAAAACTGTTGAGGTGGCATGTATGAAGAGTTGTAGGTTGGAAAACCACATGCACTACTTAATCTCTTATACTCTGTCTTAACCCTGACCCTGGAAGTTAACAAAGTTTTCTCTTCCTCTTGGGATTTGCAATTTAGGATGAAGTTGTGTTGATGCCAGAAAAAGAAGAATTATACTTACAAATGAGCAGGTTGTGGGTTGAAATAAGAATCTGTGATATTGCATCCGTGGTGTTCCAAGACATCCCTGGCAATTTGCCCTCACTTAGCCAAAAATAGGCAAGTGCCAACAGTGGTCACTGCTATTTTATTTTCAGTCCAAATACATGATGTAGGACCAGAGTTTAGTGAAATACAGTTTGCACACAAATGATGAGAGTGACAAGGTGATTAAGCCATAGTTTGGGTTGGTCATTGGTCTCCTTTGACCAAAACAGACAAATGTTGCTTCTCCAGTTCTGTTTCAGGCCAGCTATGGGCGAATTGTAACTTCAGAGTCATAAAGACTGCTGTAGTCTGCCTTCTAGGCTGTTAGTCGTTTTTTCTTTCCTTCTTTTGCTGTCTGAGCCTTTAGGCCAGTCATGGCTATTCCGTACAGGTGGCCAAACTCACAGATGCATTTGTCACTTTCCGACAGATTTCAGCAATGTCCCCGACATCACCACCGGCCTGAAGAGGAGCCAGACGGATGGCACGCTGGATCAGGCTTCCCACAGGGAGAAGATGGAGCAGACGTTCAGGGTAAGACGCTGTCCCAAATCTCACACAAGGACCCGGAGGTGGGAAAAAGAAGGTGGAGTTGCCCCATCCTTAGGTGTAGCAGTCGTTACAAACCTTATCCCTTAAGAAAATAGTTCCCATATTTATTTGAAATGAAGTACTAACAGGAAACATTGCCTGAGTAGCCAGATCCACCTTCATGCTTCTGGGAGGGTACCACAGAGCCGCCAACATGGCCATCTCTACATGAGGGCAGTTTTGGCAGGAAACTTAAGCTTGGGTATTCTAAAAGTCATGTTACATTACTATTCTTTTCTTTCCTACTTTTTTTTTTGTGGGGGAGGGGGCAAAGATCAATTATATTTTGAGTGTTATTTTTTTTGTTGTGATAAAATATATGATGTAAAATGAACCACATCCAGCATGGTCAGTGGTGAACCTGAGGCATGGTGGTGAAGGATTAAGGGAAACAGACAAGAGAATATAGCTGGGGCCAGGTGGGAAAGTGTTTTCAGATGGAGAGACGGTGACACAACCTGCAAGCAGAATCTTAATTTTAGAGTCAGATCCCACGAGGCAGAGCAAGGGCGAGGTCAAAATGTTTAAAATGTTCTCTCAAGTTTAAAATCTACTTAATTTCATGCACCTGAACGAGCATTGTTTTGGCAGCACTTGCTGTACTTCCCACAGCCCACATCACTCAGACACCTGGGACCACAGGTTCGGACTACGAGGTCAAGTTTACAATCCTAGCCTTTGGCTATAATTGTGCTGGGAGGGTTTTGCCCTCCAAGCTGGGACCTGCACAAGGCTTTGCCACTAGAGGACCATGCCCTCTCATTAGTCTGAGGTTTGAACCTGTCCAAACACTGTAGCCACTCTCCACAGTAAAATTGGCCATTTTAACAATTTGTAGTGTTTATTACAGTGGTGTTAGTACATTCACAATATTGTGCAACTATTATCCATTTCCATAACTTTTTCATCATGACAGACAAACTTTTTACCCATTAGACAATGCCTCCATATTCAACCCAGCCTCCCAGCCCCTGGTAACCTCTGTATCCTTTCTGTCCCATTTGCCTGTTCTGGGTGCCTCATTTTTGAGTAATCATATGACATTTGTCCTTTTTTCTGGAGTATTTCACTTAGCATAATGCTTTCAAGGTTCATCTACGTGGTGGTGTCAGAACTTCCCTCCTTCTGATGGCTGAATAATATTCCACTGTATGAATATACTGCATTTGTTTATCCATTTACCTGTTGGTGGGTAATGCTTTGGTGAACAGTGGCATACAACTACCTGTTTGAATTTGTGTATTCAGTTCTGGGTATGCTTCTAGGAGCGGAATTGCAGGTCATATGGTAATTCCATCTTCCGCCTTCGCAGGATTAGCCCCACAGTTTTCCACAGCGCCACACCATTCCATTCCCACCAGCAAAGTACCATCATCCACCTTCTCTGCACCCACACTTGTTATATTTCATGCTTTTCCTACATTTTTAACTGTTCTTAGCTGCCCTTTCAGAAATGGCCTGATTGACACAATCGCTTTTAATGCACAGTCTAGTTTTAACTGAATTTGAAATTGTACCTGCATTACATTCCTTGCTTTTGTCTTAAATGCAAAATAAGAATGGAAGGAATATAAGCAATGGCAGCTATTTAAATAAAACTTATAGTAGAACCACAACCCAGCTGGGTGTAGACTAGCCCTACCAGGAGCCCGTCCCTTGGTGAGTGGCCATGTGGCATACTCTGGTGCCTGGTGACAGTCCCTGTAAGAAGGTGGACCAGGTTAGAGTCCGGCAGCCTCGCCTCTGACCAGCCAGTACCTTTCTTTTCACCTGTACACACCCCCCATGTCCCTGTCTACCTCCAACCTCCCCACCCCCTTCTCTTCCCAATTCCTCATACAAAGCAAATACTCAACTATCTTCCCTGTCTGGTCATGCTCCCAGGACTCAGTCTCTTTTGCTAAATTGGAATCATCAGTGTTTTTAGTCTTACTATTCTGTTCTGTCTCTGGTGAGTTATTTACTTTTGGAAACCCAGTATTGTAGCTGGTACTCGTCTCTTTTCTGTTTCGAGATAATAGACACTAGAGCATCAAGCAGATGTGTTTTGATTGCTTTGTTGTAAATGTTTTATAAAAAAGCAAATATTTCCGAAACACTCAGAAGCTGGTCTGTCTCTTTAAGGTGAGTGTGCCTGTGGGCTCTCACAATGGGGCAGCCTGGGGAAATCACACAACACTGTAACGACAATGACCCCCTCCCTGTTTTAATCAGTGCAAGTTGTACATTAAAATTCTTAAGAAAAATATTAACTTCGTAAGAAAAGTATTAAATTTGTAAACATCTTGAAGATTCAATAGGATAAGTATGCGTATTACCATGTGAAGGCCATTTCCAGCTCTTCTTCACAATATCTATCGAATACTTTACAATATCTATCATAACGAAACATAACTGTTACACAGTGAACATTGGAGCATCCCTTAGAAATTGAGAAGAGGCCGAGACCGGTTTGGCTCAATGGATAGAGCGTCGGCTTGGGGACTGACGGGTCCCGGGTTCGATTCCGGTCAAGGGCATGTACCTTGGTTGCAGGCATATCTCCAGTAGGGGGTGTGCAAGAGGCAGCTGATCGATGACTCTCTCTCATCGATGTTTCTAACTCTCTCTCTCTCTCTCTCCCTTCCTCTCTGTACAAAATCAATAAAATATATTAAAAAAAATATTTAAAAATAAATAAATAAATAAATAAATAAATAAATAAATAAAAGAAATTGAGAAGAGGAGTGAAAGCTGCAGTTGAGCTTGAAATGGGGGCCATCTGAGCTTTAATTTTTATTGTTACAATGGCTCAAGGAGGAAGCGAGTAAATACCAAAGAACATCTTAAAAAACAGTAAAAGAGACTATCAGCATGTTAGGCTTTCACTGTCAACTCCCTCTCCCGGCTAAAGGAGTTACCTCAGCTCTTCAAATTTGAAGACACCTGTCAATCTGAACCAGTGCATTTCAGTGCAGTAGACAAACCCTAGTGACATGCTAGGCAGTCTGCTCTCACGTTCTTGGTTCCTTAGGAAAAAAGAGCGAATGGTCATCCTAAGTCACAGGCATAATGGGTGATAGGGAAAGACCATTTTGAATTGTAGTGAATTCTGATTTATTTTTATTTATTTACTAGAGGCCTGGTGCACAAATTCATGCACCAGTGGGGTTCTTTGGCCTGGCCTATGGGATAGGGCCGAAACTGGCTCCCGGACATTCCCAAAAGGATCCCAGATTGTGAGAGGGTGCAGGCCAGGCTGAGGGACCCCACAGGTGCATGATTGGGGCCCGGGAGGGATGCAGGAGGTTGGCCAGCTGGGGAGGGACCGAGGGATGGCTCCAGGGTGTTTTGGCCCATCAGTCCCAATGGGCTGGACCTCAGCAGCAAGCTAACCTATCAGTCAGAGTGTCTGCCCTCTGGTGGTCAGTGCACATCATAGCGACTGGTCAACCGGTTGACTGTCTGCCTTCTGGTGGTCAATGCAAATCATAGTGAACAGATGAGCGGCCTTAGCATATCATTAGCATATTATGCTTTGATTTGGTTAAATAGAATACCGGATGACCAGACACTTAGCATATTAAGCTTTTATTATATAGGATTTATTTTTATTTATTTATTTTTTTTAGCATCCTATAACATCAGGTTATATCTCAGAGCATCCTTTTCTGTTTTCCAAATGGTGATTTGGGAGTTTTGTCTGCGTGCCCGGTGTGTGCTGGGCGTGGGTCTTTCTGAGTTACCCTGGCGCTGCCTCGGGATGGTCTCACGATGCCCACAGAAGGTGGTCACCCCGCAGAAGGGCCTGCCTCTGTGTCCCCGGCTCCCTGCTCTGGGCCATCAGACCTACTCAGGGGTCATTAACTTCTTTTTGGTTTAGGCCCTGCTTGGACCAGGGCTGTTTGGGATATTTGATTAACAAAAATCTAGACTTGAGAATACCGAAGCATTCCCCTTGAAAATCGCAGGCAGCCTGGCTTGGGTGGCTGCAGCTGCGAGCAGGGCTTTTGACAGCCCCACAATGTCTGCAAATGGCTCTTAATTGATCGCCTTCTTTCTCCGGGGGCACCCATTACTGTCACGGCCCTTTGTGCTCCCCGTCAGCCTTCCCCGTGTGGGGGAGGCGGCTTTCTCCCCTGGCAATTAGCTCGCACTCCTGTTTGGAGTCTGAAAAGAATAAACAGCTTCTTTCTCGGCGAGGAGGGGGGGTTGGACGAGTTTCTGGCTCCTTTCTGAAAACTTGGGGCGTGTGCAGCAGTCCCCACAGAAATGCTGCTCTCTGCTCCCCGAGCCGGCTGCTGCAGCAGCGAGGTGGCCCGGCTTCTGCCCCCTCCACCTGTGCCCTCCCTCGGGGCCCTCCCAGCGGGGAGCCCCGGAGGCGGGGCGCGCCTCCCCCAGCCCTGACGCTGCCAGGGAGGGAGAGCGGGTGGCGCTAGGACGTCCTTGAGACTGTGACTTGGAAGAACATGTGTGTGTTTTTTATTTTTTTTTGTTGCCTGGGGATGAGAGTGAGAGGGAACGGGTGGAGAACCGGAGCACGCGTGTCTTACTCACTTGCCAGCGGCAGGCTGGAGCGTAGTCCTCTCTCCCCGAGGGAGCAGGTGGCAGAGCGGGTGAGTGAGTGAGGGTGCGGGTGCGGACCCCCGGGGGCGGGGTGCTTGCATGGGGTGCTCTCTCCTGTATCTGGAAAGTTGGTTCACTCTGCAAGGTCTGCAGACTGTGAGGCAGCTGAGAGGTGAGCCTTCTTTCCCAGAAGGGGTTTCTGACAGGGACCCTTGAGCACTTGTCGGTCTGTAAGGATGAGAGACTTTCTGGGGCTCCTAGTGATTCTGTGGGGCCGTCACCTTCCTCTCCTCGTTCCGAGGAGCCACGGCTCTTCAAATTGATCTGGGGGGGGGGGGGATAAAAATAAATTGATCTGGGCAATTTCTCTGTTCTCTTAAAACAGGAAGATGCAGAAA